GAGGGGTACGATGCATGTTTGGTCTGAGTTCAACCATCGGTTGGACTAGCTATCAACATTCTAGCAGTCTGTTTCGCTACTTGCTACTACGTGTGAAAGGTCAGTCCTTGTCAGGTCAGTCTTTGTATCTAAGTCTTCCCTGCGCTATTCAGCATTTTTGTACGTATGAGAATGCACATTGTCTGTCGAGATTCTACTCTCACCGCATTGTCCATTTCAGTCCTTTTCGTCACATTGCAGTTCCTCGGTTATTACAAACATCACATATCTGTGCATGTAACAGCCACATTGGCTAGGTGTGTTCATTATGACTCAGTCTTGTGGTGTGATGGCTTTTGTATGACGACCTGCTGTGTGAGCAGATGAGCTTATTTGCCAGTGTCATAGCCATCATCCTTTTTTTCCCCCTGAAAGGGCGACAGCCTTCAGATTTGTATCCACAAGTGACTGGCTCCAAGCTGTTTAGTCAGTGGATTTTTGTATCGTTCAGCCAGGGCCACTGTCAGGCTCCCCACCCCTAAGAGCCCACATACAGCTGGGTACTGGCCAACTCTCACGTAGTCATCAGGAAGAGGTGGAATTAAATGTGTCCCAACAGCCCTAGTGTACTCCAGTTGTACCCCTGTGGTGGTCAGAGGGATAACTTCCGATAGGATATCATCATCGTAGGCCCGAATAACCTGAGCGGGAGTAACCACGATCTAGTGATCAGGGCAATCGTTGGGTGTCCTTTCCTAGTTGTACTTTTCTTTTTGTTAATCCTTTTTTTTTTTTTTTTGGCGTCTTCTTTGCATGAAAAGTTTGGAAACATGAACAGAAGACAACCTCGATCCCAGGAGCACATTTTTGTAAACTGCAGACCTGCAATCCAATCCTCACTCTTCGCAGGAAGGAAGGGGGGGATATGCTATGGCTGCCAATGGTGGTGATCCTGACCTAGGGTGTCTGACTTCAAGGCAGGAGAGCTTGTGCAGTCTTGTGCTTCTTTTTCTTTTCACTTGAATGTTGATAAAAAGGCTTCACGGTTTTTGCTGCTGTGGTAATGTTTGACACTTCGGACACCGGTTTTTGCAGGTCAGCTGGTGACTGGGACCAGCATATTGCAAGGCAACTTGCAGAATTGGCCCTTGCTTGCGCAGCAATGCAGCGAAGGGAACGACCTGATCTCGACACACACGTCTTGCCAAAATTGCTGGAACTTCAGTCAGCTGCCGAAGAGGCTGCAGAAAAGTCTCGGAAGAAGCAACCGCATCTAGTTGAGACACTCCCAGAGGCCTTCATTTGCCCAATCTCACAGGTATTTCAGGATGTGTGTCCAACAACTTGCCAGGTGCTTCTACCTCCTCCTCTTCGTCCTCCTCGTTCCTCGTTCTCCTCCTCGTTCTCTCTCATTCTCCTCCGCGTTCTCGATCTTTTCCTGTATTCCTTTACATCATACCCTCACTCCCTGCCTCCACCACATTGTCCTTGCCCTCATTGCCTCACCTCTCTCTCTATCAGCCTCACATGCTTGATCGCCCCCTCTCTTCGTCCCTCCCTCCCTCCCTCCCTCCCTTCCTCCCTTCCTCCCTTCCTCCTCCCTCCATCCCTCCTGCCTAACGGCCTCCATCTCTTCCCTCCTCCTCTGTCCCTCTGTTTCCCCGCTGCCCCTCCTCTCCTTTTCACTCCCCCCTCCCTCCATTCTCCCCTCCTTCAGGCCCCGGCCTCACGTGCTTCCTCCATCCTTTTCTCCCTTGCTTTCCACGTACCTCCCTTGGTCCCTCCCTTCTTCCCTCCCTTCCTCACTCTCCTTCTCATTTTCATTTGTCCTTACCTATCCCTTCCCTTCATCCCTCATTCCTTGGATTTGGGGGAAGGTCACGAGTCTGATTCACAATGCGTTTGGATTTCTTGGAATTGGAGAGGAGCCCTTGTGTTGTTGTTTTTTGGCGTTTTGTTTGCCCCCTCCCCTTAACCACAAGTATGTTTCCCGGCTATTGTGTTCTGACACAGCCGTTAACGTCCCATGTCCTTCAGGGCTCAGCCATCGAACAGAAAAGGCTTGCGGCCAGGCAAAAGGACTTGATTTCAAGTACCCACCCTGGTTGGGCAAATTTAGCACGTGGCAGGAATCGGCGTTGGAACATACTGGTGGTTTAACGGAACAGGACCTTATGGGCCTGACTCCATATCCAATGACAGTTCCTTTACCAGCGGTAAGTCATCACAAATACATGAGAGACGGAAACATGCTTCCTTCTGTTTAGGCAAATGGACCCCGTGAATAGCATCGATGGCCCCTTGTGCAGGAGGATTGGCGGTCAGAAAGCCATTGTGGATTCCTCGGAGTCTCCATAAGAATGAGACTGTCAGAAAGGCATGACTACAAAGAATATCCAAAGGAAAGACTTCGCTGGGAACATGCAACCCTTTGAAGTCGTCTGGCCTGCACTCTGACTCAAGACACTTCCTGCTCGAACCGAACTGGGCCATCCACCATATCTCTCGGAATGCTGGCTGAAAAATTGCTTATGCCAAATTTCACTTTTTCGTCGTATGTTGTTGTCATCTAGCATGGCAAGTTTGCCCAGTAGTAGCCATCTCTTGGTAAAAGCCTTTTTCTTGACTTCAAAGTTCAAACCGCTCTGGCTTTACCTTGGCTAGACCTTTGATTCTTTGCCATCTGCACCGTACCTCGGTTTCCTCCGTTTCTCTCAGCTGCTGCCAGACCACTTCCTTATCTATCTTCTGCCCATCGATTGTGTGAGCTTCGCGGCTTTTTTTTTTCTTTTTTTTTCATCATGTCTTTCAAGTTGTCCAGAGAACGGCTTTCCTGATTAGAAAGAGAACCAGATCTCTTAACGACCTTGCAGGTACTGAGGGAAATCGATGGACAGCTGGGTGGTGATGGGGGGGATGTGAGGGAGGGACTTCAAAGACCAAAGTTGTCAGTTTCTGTCCCGAACTGGACCGCTTCTTTCTGCCAAGGTTAGCAGACAGTGAATTAAGTCCTCACTTTGGTTCTTAGAGAATATAGCACAGGTTTCTGAGCGCTTGGGATTGGATTGCTTTCTTTGCTCGTGCAATCAATCATTGGTTGACTGGTAGGCCTACATATGTCAACCACTGAAGGCTCCTAAATGTGGTTGGATTCAGAGCTTCGCACGGAATGGAATGGAAATGGATTTGATGCAATTGGATGAATGGATGGATGGATTAAGCGAGACGCAGGCGGAGGCATCGTTGTATAGGACCATCACCCATTTCCTGAAGTTTGGGCCCACCCCCAATTTTTTCCATGCTTGTGCCTAGGAAGGCCCAATTCCCCTGGTCATAGGCCTTTTCAAAGTTGAAGAAGAGAATCGCTGTACTGATTTTCCTTTCCATGATCTTCTTTCAGGCCTTGTTAAGGGTCATGACGTTGTCCAGAATGTATCTCCCTGGTATGAAGCCAGCCTGGTCTATATGAAAGCACTCGTCCGTTATCCAATATTCTTAAGGTTAGGGCCTTGGCCAGGATTTTGTTGGGGAGTGTAAGTAGTGTGAGGATTGAGCCCTCAAGTAGGGGCCTTGCCATGATATACATGTTCTGGGCTAAGGCCCCAGCAAGCCTCGTGCCCGCCCTAAGTGAAGGCG